TTCGTTCCTCAAAAGTCATATTTGACTGTCACTTTCTCTCTCTATCACACACACACACACTCTCTCTCTCTTTACAGAAAAAAAAGAAGAGAAGAGGAAAGCTCCGGACCTGGCACCTCGATTCGGATGCCTCTCTCTCCGTCTGACCGCCTTTATTGGTTCACAGAGAGGAGATTTTCTTACCTGGGCGCTTCCAGTCTCTCGGTGTGTCAGTTGATCCCTCCCCCCTCCTCTCCTCTCCTCCTCTAAAAGGCCTTGGTCTGCTTGGTGGCCTGCCTTGGCCTGCCTTGGCCTGCCTTGGCCTGCCTTGGCTCGCCTTGGCTCGCCTTGGCTCTGAGGAGTAGGACCCTATCACGGAGAGACGGGAGCCGGAAGCGCCTCGAGAGCATTCCCTCTCCTTCTGCTCTCCTTGTTCTTCACCGTCACCTCTCTCCCGTCACTTCGCCGTAGCCATCCTTGCGATGACCCGTCGCCGTCGAAGGAGATGGAAACGGATGCACTCCACGGTACATGTGATCTGTACAGACGTGTACGTCTTCATCAGGAATCAGGCCACAGTGCCAGCATCCGTTTACTCACTACGTGCTGTTCATCGCATCAGTACGGATACGGGATACGGGTATTCGTATATGATGATATGATGTGAATATTGCCTGCCTCGCCTGTATGAGCGAGTGCGAGTATACGAGTATCGCATGTTATAACATATCATAGATATCTGTATCGTGATGTGTCGGTAACAGTCATAATAAGAGCCAGCCAAACCCCCCCCCCCCCCAATGTGGATCCTGCCCCAGAGTAGAGTGATGAGTTACTAGTGATGGTGACCCGGCCTAGGCGGATTCCCTCTCGCATCAGATCTTCCCTCCACCGTCAGGGCCTCGTTCTCGTTCCTCTGTCGTGTCTTTCCTATACGATACTCGTATGTACTGATTTGCATACATGTAGGGTTTAACAAAGAGCATCTCCTGATCCCCACGATACGCGGGTAAGTAATCTATCATGATATACACATGTATATACATGTATATATATATATATGCTGTTCCGTGCAGCCAATTTCCAATTTCCATCCCAGCTGACAAGGATCTACGGAGGTATACGGTTCGCGGCTTCTCGGCGTTTCAGGTTGGAGATGCGGCGCCTCTTCTTCTCCCCTCAACCCCCCTCTCTCTCTCTCTTGCTGCCATCTCTACTCTTTTACTTGCGACAGGATGAGAGAGCGGATACACGTGTTGAGCCCCAGAATGTAGCGTCGACGTAGATCTTTTCAGATGCAGAGCATGTCAGTACTTCCGAATGGACCGAGCCTAGTATTATCAGGTGTAATCCCCGTAGATTGACCTTGATGTATAGCGTGGATGGATCTGATGAATGCGGGTAATGACTCGTAATCGAGAATAATACTAATAACCGATATTATCGTGACACGTACGGACAGCCTCGGATGGAGGAGTATCGGATGCAGACAAGTTAAGAGCAATGCAATACAAGATTACGATGCGTACAGTGATGATGCTCCGTACAGATTACGGCAGGTAATATGAATCGATACGTATCAGCCGTCGGAGATTTTGTTACCGGCATATTACGCGCAGTATCTTAATATTTATTCCAACATTATTGTGATTGGATTGGGGGAGAGCGGACCTGTAGTCGGCTTCATCACCCTCTCACTCACTCACTCACCCACTCACTCACCCACTCACTCACACACACACTCTCTCTATCTCTCTCTATACACGAGGGTACTATCATTACAACATATTGCATCGTACACCATCAATGTACAGCATATTGACAATACATGTATGGCCCATGCTGATGTCAAGTTCAAACGGTTACAGCAGCCACATCATCCAAACGGCAACGTTGTACCCGGGCTCGCCATGCCATCTTGACACACGGTTACCATCAGCAGAAGGAAGCGAGGGAACCTCTCGGTGGGATGGACCTGCAATGTACGGAATCCTCCTGCAATCCCGATCCGTCTCTGTATCCTAATCCGGCAAGTCTAACAGTAAACCTTTGAGCTCCTGAGACAGGGGCCCGCCATATATTATCACCCCTACCCCTACCCCCCCCCCCCCCCCCACACACACACACACCCACACTCCCTCTCTCTCTCACCCGCTCACATTCACTCGCGGAGGGTGATGATTCTTCCTTTCTTGTCGTCGGTGGTTAGTGGTCAGTGGTCAGTGGTCAGTGGTCAGCAGTCAGTCACACCAAGGGAGAGGGAAACCCCGCCACGTCGAGATTCCTCCGTCTCGGGCGCTTGCTGCGACGCTGTCCCTGCGTATGACCTTCCGCTCTTCTTGCTCGGGTGTTGATCAGTACGATATCGATAACACGCAGATGCAAGTCATGTCGACAAGAGTGTGTCGGATAGCAGATTGCGATCGCCATCTCCAGTTATGCCGGTAGCCTATAACGTCTTGACTTGGGCCTCGTCCAATACCTCCCAAGCCGCCGACCAGGGTGAGCGTGACGACGATGACATTTCCTGATGACCGATCTGTCTCCTTTACGGAGATGCCGGCGTGAGACGAATTGCGCCTCTTTACTATTCATCTTTTTTTAATCTTCTTACTTGCACGTACAAGTCGTCGTAGTATCATCACCATACTCGATCCTTACTACTGCTGATGTGTGTGTGGTCTTAGGCCTATATGAATTGCAGATGAGATGTAGAGAGATCCGGCTCTCATCGGCAGACACATCCTCTACGTCTCTAGGTATTGCTGACAGCTTCCGACAGGAGAGATGAATCATCACCGGCACACTTGCAGACTCATTCAGCAGACGTCGCATCATCCCAACCCCAGCCGTGGCTTTCCTCCAAACCCCGACCGGCTGATCCGACCATGACAGAATCAGGAAGGTAGATACGATCCAAAACCCGTCTCGTGCCAGAGCCCAGGCAGCTAGTCCATAGAAGAAGAAGAAGAAGACGAGAATCCAGGCAGGAAAGGGAAAGAAGAAAAAAAAGAAACGAGAGGAAGAAACGAGAGACTGTAATAGGATATGTGTCCGTCACGACTCACTCAGGTGTGGATGGTGGATGCGCACGATGCTCCAAATTGTGGTGCATTACATCTCCCCCCCCCCATTAAACGGCGTTCGCTCTGTGTATTCGCTATGTGATGCTCGTAGTATCGATACCCCCCATCTTACCCCATCTTACCCCATCTTGATGGTACCTTACCCTTGGACGCTCTCATGATGATGCCTACAGGATCCGGTCGCGCATCTCTGCCCACCGTCCTTCTGTCCCATTCTACCGAAATCCTACCTACGACTTCTTCTACGTATGATTGCAGTCAGGTATCTGTCCATGCGGATCTTATTCTCTGCATCACATGATTGTACCATTCCATCTTCACTGCTTCCCACCTACCGCTCACATATGCCATCGACCTCTCATCACTACCGCCGTGGTCAGTAAGAGGTTGGAAAACTTTGTAGTTGGCCCGCGTACGTACCCGCCGCCATACGGAAACATCCTCACCCACATGTTTCGTCCCCCATGTCGGGCACATGTGTGCATCTGATCTGTAGTGAATCAGGTGTAGACTGCCAATCCTGCACATGTCACTGGTCCTCGTCATCGTCATCTGGTGTAGGACGCTCCCGTTTCACATTTGAACTCCTCCACACCGACGACGACGACGACGAGGAAGAGTGGCCGCATCGATCCATGCTCCCCCCCCCCCCCCCCCCCCCCCCCCCCCCCCCCCCCCCCCCCCCCCCCCCCCCCCCCCCCCCCCCCCCCCCCCCCCCCCCCCCCCCCCCCCCGGCCCATGGGCTTTTTATCATCGAGAGGTGGTTGTGTTACCACCATGCAATTATACTACATTACTACTTCACGTCTGTAGATGTCAAGGAAGCAGAGAAAACCACTTTCCCTTTTGAGCCCCAGATCCATGAACCAGACTTTTCTAACCTCCGGAGCCGCGTGTTGTTTCCATCAACACCCCCCCTGCCATCCATCCCATCTTGACCAACTAGTTAGCTCCGTGAGGAAAGGAGGGGGGGGGGCCGTGTGAGTGATCATGGAGTAGTCGAGGACGAGGTGAGAATGCTGTAGAGGGATGGGAGATGAGAGGATCGAGAGGATCGAGAGGATCATGGGGGATATAAAGGAGGCACCATCATCGTTCATGTCTATTTCTTCTTCCCTTCTCTTCTGTAGCCAACTCTCTCTTATCAGTCTCCCATTCTTTCTCTTTCTTTCTATTCTATCTCTCATATACTACACTCCTTTCTTTCTTTCTTTTTACGACACAGACTCACATTCGTTCCTCAAAAGTCATATTTGACTGTCACTTTCTCTCTCTATCACACACACACACACTCTCTCTCTCTTTACAGAAAAAAAAGAAGAGAAGAAAAAGAAAAGAAGAAGAAAAGAAGAATCAGGAGACGATGCGTCTCGCCAGCACTGTCGCCGCCCTCGCGGCCGTGACCTCGGCCGCCCCCTTCGCCAACATGGCCAGCACTGACAAGCGTGCGGTCTCTGCTACCGCAAACAGCAACGACGATTTCACCACCATCGACGCCAGCCTCCCCTCCAAGGTCATAGTCACCAAGGAGAACACGCTCAACAGCACGGCCGAGCCCTCCGGGAGCGGCGAGCCCACCAAGGTCGACGCCGCCGAGGCCCAGGACGACGTCTCCATCCCCCTCCGCCTCGTCAACAACCTCGCCGGCGACGGCGTCAACGCCTACATCTCCGGTACCGACCCCGACGGCAAGGTCTTCTTCCTCGGCTCCGACGGCAGCCTGATCTACCCGTCCGCCGGCGGGGCCGTCGAGCCCGTCCTGATCGCCGACGCCATCGCCATCGCCATGCCTGCCCGGGGTGAGGAGCTCCGGATCACCGTCCCGACCTCCTTCGCCTCCGGCCGCATCTACTTCGTCCAGGGAGAGCTCGACTTCTTCATGGTCACGTCCGACCTCGGCACCGACGCCCTCGTCCAGCCGACCGTCAGCAACCTCCGGGACCCCAGCGTCGACCTCAGCTGGGGCTTCGTCGAGATGACCCTCACCGACGCCGGCGAGATCTGGGCCAACCTGTCCTTCGTCGACTTCGTCGGCCTGGTCCTGTCCATGACGCTCAGCAGCGCCGACAACACCACCCAGCAGGTCGTCGGCCTCCCCGGCGACGCCGTCCAGACCCTCTGCGACGCTCTCGAGGCCCAGGGTGACAGCGACGGCCTTCCCTGGGGCGGCATGTGCATCCGGGGCGCCGACGGCAGCCCGCTCCGCGTCGTCTCCCCCACCGACTACGAGTCCATCCAGCCCGGCCGGTTCGACGGCTACTGGTCCGCCTACGTCGACGACGTCTGGCAGACGTACTCGGCCGAGCCCCTGACCGTCGACACCCAGGACGGCGGCACCGTCACCTGCCGAGTCGACGGCGACGAGCTCCGGTGCGACGGCGACAACCGCGGCTACGTCAAGCCCACCGCCGTCGACATCTGGGGCTGCAACTCGGGTCCGTTCGCCATCATCGACGGCGACAACGACGTCCACAAGGCCGTCGTGCCCCGCCTCTGCGCCGCCTTTGTCCGCGCCACCCTCACCATCGACGGCGGCAACACCCAGCCCGGCCCTGAGGCCGACAGATACTACTCCACCGACCCCACCAACCACTACTCCCGCATCATCCACGAGAACGAGGTAGACGGCAAGGGATACGCCTTTGCCTACGACGACGTCAACCCCTCCGGCTCCGACGATGCCGCCGGTCTCGTCAACTCCGCCAACCCCTCCGAGCTCGTCTTCTACATCGGTGGCCAGCAAGCGTAAGCTCATCCGGTCATGGGAGTGTCTCTCTCCGGCTGGCCCTTTCTATTCCTCATCTTCAATTCTGTACATACCAAGAAAAGATTTCTTCTCAATTCTCTGTGGATATCATCTTTTTTTTTTTGACGAATTCGGGTCGGGTATGCTGCATGGCGTCTCATTGGAAAAAAGAGAAAAAAAAAAAGAAAAAAAAAGACGACGCTCACACACAACCGGGGTAGAATGCGGAGGGGGCGGGACCTTTTTGAGGCCGTGTACTTGTATCCTCTCTACATAGATGATAGTCGAGACTATCCCTCGAAGGCTTGCGTGTCATTCTCAGTCTATGAAGGAGATTAGATTCTACGCGAAGAAGAAACACCCCCCCGACAAGAATAAATCGTAGCTTGCATGGTGGTAGATAGCGGAGGCGTTCTTCCAGTGGGTGTGTCGAACCGAACACGCCGGATTCTGATGGCCTTAAGGCCTTCTGATGGCCTTAGGCCACAGATCACGTGCTCCAGCAGACGTCGTATTTCACCATCTCACATTCGTGTGCAGCAGCTGCTGAGAAGGCCTGAGATGAATCATCATCACCTTCATTTTCCTCCTATTCCCTTCTAGTGCCCAACACTACTCAAGTCAGACGCACGTTTAACCGAACTTTTTCCACGATGGTGGATGACTAATAATCAGGTCTCTCGGAATAGCGAGATTTAGCCGTTGAACGTGTACAGACAGAGTGTCTTTAGCCCTCAATCGAGCTTAGCAATCATCATTATATCATCATTGATTTTTTTTTCTTCTCTTTTCTTAGAATATGCATTCGAGAATCGTGCGTGAGAGGCTTCAAACAAGAACCACGCTTCTGAAAAGGTTGGGTGATGGAGAAAAAAAAATTTCAAAAAAAAAAAAAATTCACATGAAAATTTGAAAAGCTAACGTGTCGAGAGTTATGATGTCAGTTTCAACTCTTGTCGACCATTTTCTGCACCAGCCGCAATTGCATCATCCGCATCGAATAGACGCCACGGAAGCAGCGTAGCACTGGGTCTCTTCCTTGACCGTCGAGCACCGCTGTCCCGGGTAACGTCAGCCACCCTTGTCCAGCCGCCGCCGCCGCCGACAAGGGCCCTCTTCTCTACGTCTGCCAGCGCGATGGCCAAGCTTGAGTCCATCCTGACCCCGGAACTGCTCTCTGAGGTGCTGAGTGTGTGGTACGGGCACGTCAGCGATGGCAGCTCGGTCATCCTCCCTAGCCAGGACCACGTAAAGGTGTGGTTCTCGTCCTCCCCAGAGCTGGACAGTGTCTGTGTGTGAGTAGCGAGCGGCTCCCGACCCCAACTCCCATCGCAGGGACTGTATCGTATCTCGGCTGCGTGCGGGCCGTGTGCAGAGTACGGATGCTGACGATGCCCCCCAGAAAGTCGTTTGGCCCCGTCCTCGACGCCATAAAGGAGTCTGGGGTCACGTCGGGTCAGCAGATCCTGGACGCCGCGAAGCCCAAGGGTCCGCTGGACTGGCTGAGCCTGGTCCTCCTGCTGGACCAGATGCCGCGGAACTGCTACCGCGGCGACGCCTCCTCCGTCGTCTACAGACTGTTCGACCCGCTGGCCCAGGACGTGGCCGCGGCAGCCTCGGAGAAGGGAATCCCCGACCTGGAGCCCCAGACGCGCTGGTTCATCGGCCGCCGCCTGTGGTTCTACATGCCGCTAGAGCACTCCGAGAGTCTCGATCTGCACAGGCTGGCGACCGAAAAGTTTGCCAGCCTGGCACGCGACATCGAGCTGCTCATCTCCGACAACGACGACCCTTCGTCATTGATCGGCGGCGACGACGAGCTACGCGCCAAGGCGGCGCGGGTCCTAGGCGCCAGTGCCGAGTCTGCCGAAGCCGCCCGCGGCGTGGCCAAGGCCTTCGCCGCCTTCGAGGAAAGACACTCGGACGTCATCGAGCGGTTCGGACGCTACCCGCACCGCAACGGGTCGCTTGGAAGGGCGTCTACCGACGAGGAGATCAAGTACCTGTCCGAAGGCGGTGAGACGTTTGGTGGAGGCAATGGCCACACTCATTGAGAGCCGGAAGAGAGAAGAGGGCGAGCAAGTTCGAACCGAGACGGTCTGAGACCCTCCCCCGCTCCGCGTCACGAACTACCCGTACGACCACAACTTTGCGAATGCGAGAGCTCTGGACCCCGGAACCCCTGCAGTGTCGACTCTATCGATGAGGCGTAGAGGCACGGCGTGAAGTGTACCCTGCACAGCTTGTAGGGAGCCCACGATTACGATTACATCAGGGCAGGGCTTTATCTGGACAGGATTTGCCGATTGCAAGCCGCACTACTCGTGGGCCGTGCGTCCGTGTGTGAATAATACTGCTAAGTAATATGGCGCATGCTGGTGGGACCGACCGACAGTCTCGTCGGAAGTGCGGGTGGCGGCGGCGCATTGGGAAGAATCGAGTGGAGCGGTTACTTGGGTCGGGATGGCCCGAGCTCCCCGGTCTATCAAGATTCGCAAAGTTTTGTAACCGGCAACTGGCCGGAGAGCCGCAATATTACTGGGGTTCCGAGAGGAGGGGGGTTCGTCTGCATGATTCTTCCGCCCCCCCCCCCTTCCCTCTGTTCGTACGAGTATTATCATCTGTCAGCTCACAGCTATCTCTTTGTCAAGCTCATTGTGGGGGGGGGGGGGGGGAGGGGTTCGATTTTCCCTTCCTGATCTATTACTCTTGTTGTTGTTGTACTGCAACTGCTCTGTTACGTTGTTTTCCCATCGTCTCCGTATTCTGTTGTCTGTATTCGATTACATCAAACTTCTTGTGTGAATTGGTCCGCTTATTCCTCATCTTTCTGAATAAAGAAAATCTCTTAGCAGCTGATATCAGCAGTAGACGACGTACTACGAGTCACCTCTGCCACCCTCGGATCTCGGCGCCTTCGGCCAGCACGTTGAGGAAGTTGAAGAGTTGGGAGGAAGAGGGCTTGAAAGGTGGATTCACCAGGGTACGGAGGAGTACGAGTCATGAGTACTGACTGCTGTGAGGGTTGACTCGCGGGGCAAGATGTAGATGTCTGCAACTCGCACTCGTGTGCAGATTACGAACCCATCCGTACGGGGAGCGAAAACCAGCTCCCAGACCCTGGTTCCTGGAGAATGCCGTCATTGGCTGCGGCTCCCGGGTTTTAGAGGGAGAGAGAAGAATCGGGATGCCGTCTTTGCCGTTATCAATCCTTCACCCATCACGGGCCAACCATAGTGGCCAGCCATGGTCAGTCGTGGGGGAGTTGGCATTGCCATTACGAGCACATTTGCGTGTCAGTCTGAGATACTGGAGATAGTACGGAGTAGTTTGGTAATAGATTGGCTGTTATTTGACCTCTTTTTTTTTTTTTTTTACTTTATTCTATCTTTTTACATCTCTTTCATCTCTACCTCTACTTCTCCTGTTCCCAATATCCTTCTTCCCGCCTTGCTCCCATCCTCTTAAAGAAACCTCCCATCCCTATTCCCACCTCCCCAGGGGTCCAATGCATACAGACAACCTCTCCTCCCCCTCCTCCCCTCTCTCCGTCATTGCACTTTTCGACTGAGGTACTCGACTGAGGTAGGAACAGGCACCCCCAAGAGGGCCAAGGTGATAGAGCTTGTGGGTCCGTCATGGTGTCGACTCGAGACGCATCGTCGCACGACGCGGCGGTGCTGGCCAACCTGGGCCACACGCAGGAGCTCGAGCGCAAATTCTCCCTCGTCTCCATGCTCGGCCTAGCGTTCGCCATCCTGAACACGTGGACGGCCCTGTCGGCGTCCATCACGCTGGCGCTGCCGTCCGGCGGCGCCAGCTCCGTCATCTGGGGTCTCATCGTGGCCGGCATCTGCAACATGTGCCTGGCCGCGTCGCTGGCCGAGTTCCTCTCGGCCTGGCCCACGGCGGGCGGGCAGTACCACTGGGCGGCGCTGGTGTCGCCCAAGGGGTGGAGCAGGGGGGTCAGCTACGCGACCGGGTGGATCAACGTGAGCGGGTGGGTGTGCCTGACGGCCACGGGCGGTCTGCTGGGCAGCCAGTTCGTCATCGACGTCATGGCGCTGTTCCGCGACGACCCGGACGTGTCGGCCCCGGCGTGGCAGCAGTTCCTCATCTACATCGGCTTCACGGCCGCGGCCTTCGTCGTCAACGCCTCCCTCACGCGCATCCTGCACTCCCTCAACAAGGCGGCCCTGCTGTGGTCCGTGGCCGGCTTCCTGATCGTCAGCGTCACGCTGCTGGCCTGCTCGTCGCCCAGCTACCAGCCCGGCTCGTTCGTCTACGGCCAGTTCGCCAACGAGGTCGGCTGGCCCGACGGCGTGGCCTGGATGCTCGGCCTGCTCCAGGGCGCCTTCGCCCTCACCGGATTCGACGCGACCGCCCACATGATCGAGGAGATGGCCGACCCGCAGATCCAGGGCCCCCGCATCATGATGTACTGCATCGTCATGGGCGTCCTCAGCGGCTTCTTCTTCCTGTCCTGCCTGCTCTTCTGCGTCGACAGCATCGACGACGTCATCGGCGCCGCCTGGGGCCCCATCCTCCAGATCTTCATGGACGCCACCGGCAGCAAGGCCGGCAGCACCTGCCTCGTCATGTTCCCTCTCGTCTGCATGCTCTTCACCTCGACCGCCCTCATGACCACGTCCAGCCGGATGACCTACGCCTTCGCCCGCGACGGAGGCATGCCCTTCAGCAGCTTCTTCGCCAAGGTCCACCCCACGCTCGAGGTGCCCCTCAACGCCCTCGTCTGGACGACGGCCTGGGTCGTCATCTTCGGGTGCGTCCTCCTCGGATCCAGCAGCGCCTTCAACGCCATCACTGCCGCCTCGGTCGTCGCCCTGGGTGTGACGTATGCCATCCCCCAGACCATCAACTGCCTCCGCGGCCGCAAGATGCTGCCTGAGAACCGCCCGTTCAAGCTCCACCCGGTCGTGGGCTGGGTCGTCAACATCGTGAGTGCCTCCGCTCCCCCGCCACATCTGCCATCATCAGACATGTACTGACCACTCTCTTCTCCTCCCTCTTCTCCTTCTCCGACACAGGTCGGCCTTCTCTGGACCGTTCTGACCACGGTCCTGTTCGTCTTCCCCCCGGAGCTCCCCGTCACGCCCGACAACATGAACTACGCCGTCGTCGCCTTTGGCGTCATCCTCGTCATTTCCGGCTCGACTTGGATCTTTGACGGACGCAAGAACTATAAGGGTCCCCAGATTGGCCTCAACATTGATGGCACTGAGCCCGAAATGATGCATCGCGAGCACCGGCAGGACACTTCTTCTACCGACGAGAAGATTGCTGCATGAGATCGTTCTTGTCCTGTACTGTACATGTTTGAACACATTAGCATTGCGATAGAATATAGAAATACCAGGCAGGTATCATACCACTTGAAGAAGGGAGAGATAGATAATCCAGTGACGAAAAAAAAGAAGAAAAAAAAACCGTATCCACGAAAGAAAGTAATTTACCCAGTTGATGCGACATCAATTGCCTCGAATCCCTTGGGGGTTTATTTTATTTCATTTCATTTCTCTTGAAATTTTTTTGGCTAAAAAGTCACACGTCGACTTTTCAAAATGACAGCACACACACACTCAACCCCCCCCCCCTCCTCCACACCAACATCAGAACGATCAACGAGACCGTGAAGGAAAGAAGAAGAAGAAGAAGAAGAAGAAGAAAAGGAGGTGACAAAAGTCGAGACTATCACACAAAATGGTCAGCACAAGATCCTCTTCATCTCGCGCAGATGACGCCAAGACGCCCAGTCCTACAGCCTCGTCGACGCAGCTGTCGCGTGGCGGTGCATCATCGTCCACCGCCCCCAAGAATGGCAGCAGCAGCAGCAGCAGCAAGACGTGGCATCACGTCCCCGACAACCTGACGCTCATCTGGCTGGCCGTGTCTCTCCCACTCGTCACCTGGGATACGCTGTACATCTTTGGCCGTCCGGCCACCATGCCGGGTGGCAGCCTGCACTGGCCGCTCTGGAGTCCCTACGCGCTCTACGGCGAGGTCGATCATGTGTACGGGTGGGAGGCCTTCAACTCCCAGGACGGCTTCACCGCCGCCCAGGGCTTCCTCAACATCGTCGAGACGGCAATGTACCTGTACTACCTCGTCAGCGTGTATGGCCGCGGTGGGTGGAAGGTCGAGGGTGAGGCGGCGGCGAGGACCGTGCTGATCGGGTTTGCGGCTGCGGTCATGACCTTGTCCAAGACGGCGCTCTACTGTGAGTTTCTCTCTTCTGGTTTTCTATATATCCGCCCCTTTCTCTCTCTCTCTCTCTCTCTCTCTCTCTCTCTCTCTTCTTTATCATTCTCGCTGGCTAACTTCAATGTTTTACAGGGCTCCAGGAATACTTTGGCAACTACTCCCACATCGGACACAATACTGCTGCTGATATCATTCTTCTCTGGGTCATTCCCAAGTAAGTCTTGCCTTATCCCACAGCACTGTCAAAGGAATCTCCCTCTTAACCTGACTACTTCGAACAGCGGTGCGTGGCTCATCGGTCCTTCGTACATGATTCGGAGCTTTGCCCGTGATGTCATCCGGGGCATCACTGCCCAGGACACCAAGGCTGAATAGATGGTAGCTGTCTACACACAATGCGCATGGAGGAGAATGAAGCACGCCTTGCTGATATTCCTCTCTGACTGATCTTATCTGATCCCATGTTCCGTCGAGAACTACCGTGTACTTATTATACCAATTATCCAACAAGCATCATAACTTGTTCTTTTTCTGCTCCTCCGCCCCCCCCCCCCCCCCCCCCCCGCGCTCAACTGCATGGATATCGTATGCACGGCATGATGCCGAAAATGAAAGAAGGAGGAAAGGATAGAATGCGAAAAAAAAAAGAAGAAAAAGAAAATGGGATGAGGAGACTAAATGCAAGACGCTAACTGAGGTTGTGGCTGAGAAAACAAAACGGATAATGGGTATCAGGCCAAGTAAGAGAAGGAAGAAGAAGAGAGAACCGCCGTGGTGTGGTCTGCGAGTCGTATAAAGTAAGAGAGAGAGGAAGAGTGCACGGGTGAGTGTGCGTGCACGCCTCAGCATCTGTTCATCATCAGAGTGTATGTCCGCGTGCCGACTCAGCACCTGGTCTCAGTCAGGCCACCGAGGTCATTGTACTGCTCCCAAGCAGGTTTGACGTCGCCATCGTCGCAGTCAAACGTCCCGTCGACGTGGGGACTGCACTGACCGTCCATGAAGGCCTGCATGGCCATCCAGTCGTCCTCCAGACCCTGCCGCCCCTTCATGATGAGCGGGTCAAACGGGTCAGCCAGCCTGCCGCTGCTGCTGCTGTTGTTGTTGTTGTTGTTGTTGTTGTTGTTGCCACCACCGCTGCTGTGACCTCTGGTGCTATTGCTCCTGGAGAGCATGGTGCTCACCGGCCTGCGGAGGGCGCTGGCGCTGACGGCCATTGACGCGCGGCGGGTGGGCGTCGGCAGGACCGAGCGGCGCTGGTTCCAGCTAGGCTTGCTGGCGGTCTCAGTCCGGGGAGGTGGTGGGAGGGTGTAGATTTCAGTCGTGATGATGTCGTCGTCGTCGTCGTCGTCGTCGTCGTCGTCGTCTTCGTCTTCGTCGTCGCCTGTCATGGTGAGCGAGCAGATGCTCGATTCGAGGGTGTCGTCGCTCTGGGTGCTGCCGGGAGAGGGCATGCTGACGCAGGAGCCGGTCGAGTTGTTGCGTGCTGCTGCCTTCTTGACCGGCGTGGTCTGGCCGTGCTTGGAGCCCGGCCTGACGTGATTGAGGCCGTTGCCGTATCCTCCCATCAGGATCTCGCCGTGACCGTTGCTGCGCGAGCCGGTCGAAGAGGACGAGTTGGAGTGCGACAGGTCGGTGCCGTTCGACTGCAGCAGCATCGAGCTGGGGCGGAAGAGTCGGATCGATCGCCGCACGGTCGAGTTTCGCCTCAGCGCGCGCGAGACCGATCCCTGTCGCTTGGGGGCTGCCACGGATGTGGGGCTCAGCAGGCCATCGGGGTTACTCTCCACGGGGGAGCGGGAGTCGCGGTGCGTCAGGGCATAGTAGTCGATGTCGGGCTTGATCTCGATCCGGCCGAGCCCCTGAGGCGACGGTACATCGCCTGCCGCGCCGTCGGCCCAGTAGACAGACGGGGCGGGGGCGGGACCGCCGCCGCCAGCGCCGGTCTGGTCGACGCAGTCTCGCTCCGGGGGTTCCGCCATCATCTTCTCGGTCTCGTCCCAGGGGGGCAGATTCTCGGTCGAGACGGCCATGTGGTATTCTGTCCGGGCCGCATCGAACGCTTCGGGCGGAGTGACGGTGATGCTGCGCAGGACCTGGTAGATGGCGTAGATGAGGATCCAGCGCACCTTGCGGGCATCCGAGACGGAGACCTGCTGATCCTTCCTGGCCGTCCTGCTCACCGTCGAGGACAGGACAGACTCCTCCTCGAACATGCGGTAGGCCTTGACGAGCTCGTTGTCGGAGATGGCCCTGTCCTTCCAGTTGGAGGCCTTGATGAGGGCCGCATGCGCGAGGAGGCGCCGGTTGGGCTTGCGCTTCCTGCCGTCGTCGCCCAGCCAGCGCATCACGTACCGGGGTGTCGCCTTACCGTCCCCCTCCCCCTCCGTGTACGTGGGCATGTGGGGCAGCGGGTGCTCGAGCGGCTCGAGCTGGTGCTCCCGGTCGAACATGTCGACGAGCTGCAGCATGCAGATGCCGTTGCTGGCCACCCACGGCATCCCCTGCGACGTCGAGTACGACTGGTCGACCAGCAGCCGGTACAGGCACTCGAAGTCGCGGCACATGAGGCGGCACAGCTGCGGGTCCAGGTGCGAGGCCGGGTGCCGTCCCAGCCGGCTCGCGTAGTGCGCCTCGATGAAGCGGCGGAACTGCTGGAGGTGCGCGCGCGCCGCGGGGGGGATGCCCAGTCTCGACTCGGACATGGCGTCGTCGAGGAAGTCGTCCAGCATGCCGTACGCCGCGCTCACGCGGGACTGCAGGTCCGAGCGGGACGAGCCGATGAGCTTCCGGGTCGCCCGGCTCAGGGTGGCATACTCCGGGCACGAGCCCAGTACGTCGCTCATGCCGACGCAGTGTGCGAAGGCGCGGATGTAGAGGTCCCGTAGGCGGAACGCCTCGGCAACGTGGAGCATGGCCACGGCGTACGTCGGCCGGTGCGCCACGTCGAGGTAGCCCTCCTCGTCCATGTAGGCCATCAGGTCGGCGGCGTTGTCGACACCGACACCGCCCCGGAACTCACGCATGGCGTGGAAGAGACCGACGAGGGCGGGCCCGAGGTGCTCCCCCACCACCGGGCGACCCTGCAGCCAGGCGAAGAAGTTGCGCGTGGCGACGTGGTAGGTGAAGGCCTGCCGGCTGCTGAGCCCCGGCGGCGACGGGATGTATAGCTCCGCGGTAGGCTGGGGGTCGGCCCCGAGCTGCGCGGCAGCCGTGGTGGCGCCATCTACGACGAGGAAGCGCCTAATCAGGGGGGCACAATTCTTGTCGAGCAGGCTCTGGAAGGGAATCCTGAACGAAGGGCCCTGCCTTGACCGGCCCTTGGCGTGGAGGTAGACCAGACAGTTTCCGTGACGAGTCCACAGGACGGGGTCCTGAGAAGGAGAGGGTGGAAGCAGAGAGTTAGACGCCACATTCACATTCTCATATAAGACGGGGCAGAGGAAAGCCTACTAACCCTATGCAATCCTTTCCATCCGTATGAATCCTTGGCCGCACCGTCCCACTCCTGGATCGGACGGCGGTTGAGATCGATGGTATCCGAGAAGGCGTCCAGGCTCCGGCTTGTCGATGAACTTCCCATACTGAAGGGCTAAACGTGATATTGTGATATCGCCCGTCAATGACGACCGGGGGGGGGGGGGGGGGGGGGGGGGGGGGCGGGTTGTCGAAGAGAAGAGGGGAATGATTTCTCAAAGCTGACCCTCCTCCTCCTCCTCCTCCTCCTCCTCCTCTCTCTCTCTCTGCCGTCTTCCTTCTCCTCTCCTCCTCGTATCGACGGCAACCCCGTCGGCAGATGATTGGCTCAAAGAGGAGCACGATGCTCGTACCTGTGGTGTAACTTGGACGCTCCCGCGTGCCCAGATTACCGGTCGAGAGTGATAAGTCCTAAGACCGACGAGCCCCAGACTCCGACGACATGTTCAGCAAGGATTGTTGTAAAAAAGAAAGGAAAAAAGAAGAACGACGATGCCTAAAAGAGGCAAAGTATGAGGTGTATGATAATCTCGATAGAAGAAGGAGAAGAAGAAGAAACAGTACGACGTAAAAGCGAGGGCGGGGGCGAGATAATATCCTTGCAACGTCGGGGGAGGTCGCCGCCGGCCTTTGAGGGTCCAACAAAAAAAAAAACATAAAAATAAAATAAAACAAATAAAAAACAAAGGTACGTACAGATATATCAAAGTGGCATACTACCGCGGTACGGAGAGTATGACAACTACGGAGTAATATTCCATACATGTAAATACTCCGTACGGGGGAGTACATGCACGGAGGAGGAGCAATACAATGGCGCCATGGCAGATGGTGCATCGGCGGCGTTGGCGGGTCCGGAATACTGACACATCCCTGCTTGTCTGACCCCAACCAAGCCTCAGGAAGGACCAGCAGCCAAGATGCGTGGAGCTGGCTGGACGCGCTCACGCTCCTCATATGCGTGCCATCCTGAGATGGGCCCAGTGGAGTCAGCCGAGCCTCGCCTGTCATGTTCCCTCCTCCCCCCCTCTCCCCCCCCCTCTCTGGCCTCTTGGCGTCTTCCCCGATTGAGGGGTCCGCTCTTGTCCGGAGTTGGGGAATGCAATTGTCGTAACATTGCACGGGAATCTTATCGATTCTGGGCCAAGTTGCCACTGACAACCCGCCTCTCTCTTGTACATCACCTCCCTCTCCCTTCACGTGAGCGTCGTCATCGACACTGCATGTGCGTGGCTGCTGTAGAGGGAGGAGGCTACGCAGCACGTAAGCAGATGCGCCTTGACCGGCATCGATATACATGGACCGTCAGCCCAGAGAGAGCAAGGCGAGTTCGCCCGGTCCGTAGCGTTGCGTAGGGATGAGGAACTGGAACTACGGTCCCTCAGAATCTGCCATGCATTATCACTACCCCAAAAGAGTGTGAGCGTGGAGGTTGAGACAGAGCCGCTAGTTGGGGATGGGACAGAGCCGTGCACATATGAGATGTATGTCTTATTAATCGGATAGAGAGAGAAGAGTTACGGTGTATCGAGCAGGAGAGGAATAGAACTCGGGGCTGTCAATTGTCATTCATGTCTTTCCTTTCTTCTTCTTTTTTCCTCTCTTGCAACATATACAGGATAAAAATATGCAATGTTCTGAACACATGATGCCCGCCAGTTGCCGCATACATGCATACATAAGGGCAACATCACGCCCCCCCGTCAACACTCGCGATAGCAGTCGGTGACGACGACTGCCGCTGATAATGATGTTGCCTCTCTCTTCTTCTTGCATCATCAGCAGCAGACAGGGGGTGGTGATGCTCTTGCAGCTGCAGTGTGAGATGCAGATCGCAAATAGTCCCGGCATTAGCTGAGCAGTATACTCGTACATGTATCATTACTTGTATATACATCTAGGGAGGGGACACCCAATCCTCGTACTCACCCACGCGCACACACACACACACTCTCTCTCTCTCTCTCTTCTCTCTCTCTCTCTCTCTATCTCACACACACACACACACACACACACACCTCGAGGCTATATAGCCATGATCTCCTCGAAACATGACATCTAATGTAATGTAGAGCCAAGAGGGCGTTTTGCATCCAAGTACGTACAAGGGCCGATTTGATACATCTCGTGATCCCTGTCATCATATATACGTTATAGAGCGCTATCTCGACTGCACTCTAAACATTCCAAGATGTACCTCCAGTACGAGCACGTTCCGAGCGGATCAGGACCAGAGGCCGATCATCCTGACTGGACCTGAGGAAGGTCAACCAGGCTAGGACCCCTGGTGTCGCACGGCTCTAACGTTCAAACAAGTCTAGTCCCGGTCAATTTGAAATTCGCTGCTTGCCATATACGGTAAGGAGGAAAAGAGCCCATCGAAATTCGTAAGTTACCCACCGTCTCGGCAGAGATGAGCGCCCGGCCACGACCAGAACCTGTTTGCTCGACGCTGCTACTACTGCTACTCCGTAAAACTACGGAGATGTTCTGCCAGCACCATCGCGCCGTACAGTTGAGTCGTTGCCTTGCGTATGCTGTCTTTCCCGGTATGCGCCTTGCATCCTTTTCTGGAGCGCAGAGACAGCCGATAACCTATCATGGCATTCCTATCGCTGTTTCAAGGGATAGAGGGGACAGACAGCGATACCGTCCCCCCCCCACCTCCACTTTCTTGTCTCTCTCCCTTGTTTTCGTCTCTGGGTTTCCCGCCCTTTGCGTCTGGTGAGGGGAAGTTTCGGGTGGGAAAGAATCGAGATAGATCAGGAGAGTATTCCACCGTCGCGGGTGACCCAAGAGTCAAGGCTGGCCGGCCCGGGGTGAGCGTCTACGGCAGATCCGTGGCAGAGGTCTCTTGAGATGAATCGAATTTATTGATTATTCCATGCTTCACGTCATCGACTGCCCAAGGTCGGGGAGGCGGTCCATAATGCCCTCAGTCCATGTTAGGATGGAAACCCGTAAACAGGGGGGAGGGACAGGGATGGAACATGTCATGGCAATGAAAATCAATGTAAATCGCCACGACCAAGGCCGCGTACACGTACGTGCTGCTGGTCAGCTAACTGGCACCCCGGGGTCATCCCTATCCCAGAGCAGAAGAGGAGAGCGTCCGTCGCTGCACCTCCGTGCCAGCTTCAGCTGCCCGTGGGCAGCAACGACAACGACAACTCGACTTCTTCCTCCATCTTCTCGGTGATTAAGCGTAGCGTCGTCCCCCCCCACCGCCCCTCCGAGAGAGGCCCGCGACGTGTCCGAGTCCAGCTTCCTACGGCTGGAAGGCTCCCAGCCACGAGACGGCCGACAAGGGGCTGTCGTGTCGCGCTTTTCTTCTTGCCAAGGCTGAGAAGCGCCTTGTGGGTCACTACGGAGTATTGTTATTTACTCTATAGACTATCATAATCTGTAGTCTATCAGTAATAATACTCGTCAATGTACAGATAAACAGGAAGGCTGGACTGGGCTAGGGCTTCAAGAGTTCAGTATCATTATTACACGCCGTAGTGGTAATGCTCAACTACGACAAGCAAACCCCATATTATCTCACTTGCGCATTACTACGTGCTCCTCGTATGCAGCTCATCTTCCATGGGCCCTCATCATATTGCATCCCTATCAATCCTCCCTACGTGTATCGTGTGATAATGTGTAGCCTTAGCGGTGGCCGGCGAACCAGCAAGGAGAAAGGAGATGACCGTCCCGTCGACGAGAATGAAAAGGCGCATCCGTCGTGAGGGACTGGCAACAGCGAAGCTGCGACCTTTCTCTGTATCATACGTGGCGATTCCTCCCCTCGATACATAGCACAATTCAATCGTGCGGATAGCTACACGTATCAGCTGGGGAGACGATCGGCAGTGCGTGGATGGTGCGACAGAAACACTGGCATTGACCGCCTCCAGCCACAGGTAGAGCCACTGTCTTCGATACTGCGGTCACCATCATGCTCCTGATGGGTTTTGCTTTTTCTTCCCGTTCACGTCTTGTCATAATATCCACCTCGGCGCTCACCATGTGCGTGGTTGGCAGACTGCACCTCCGCGCCGTACTCGCCATGGGCGGCATTGCAATGTCACATGTGCGTCGTAGACAGTCCATACAGCACCCGCCCATGCGATGCACATCTTGGGGGGCATGATACGTGCCTCCGTACACACCATACAAGGCTCCCAATCAGTACGATGCGTACGGCTATGTATCGTATTGCTCCGAATTCGGAAGAGCGAGAGGGAACTGTATGTTACTACTATTGATACCACATCTGGAAAGTGTCAACACGTTCCCATAGAACTGACCCTGTCCCGTCCCGCCCTTTCCCTTCTCCCTTCAAAGGCTCCCCAGCCATACCGATTCTCTTCTCGGTGGCTGCAGAGAGGGGGATGTCGAGCATCGAGGCACCCACAGCGCAGGCCTACGTAGGCGGACGTGGCCGCATGGAGAGGCCGAGCGGCCACCGGGAAGGGGCTTGCAGTCCTAGATCCCAATCTCGAGAGATACCGGAACATCCAGCATCCGTTCTCGACGGCCAGCTCTGGCCATCTCAAGAAACGGGCGATCGGAGCGCCGAGGAAGCACCAGGCGGACCTAGCAGCGGATATCGACTGCTGAGACGTCGACCTGACGCGCTTCCCGTCTAGCTTCGACAATGTCATCATGGAAGTTCGCCTCCTGTGACCAGACACAGGCCGAGAACCGCGAGGCTGTTGCTCTCCACACCTCAACGGTCCTGGCTGGCGGACGGCGTGCTGGGTTCTCAAGACGTCTCTGACACATATGCTCATCGCGGACCGTTATCAGCGGGCCCTTCCCGCTCTGTCATCCTGACCTACGCTACGGAAACATGCTCTCTGACGGTGGATACAACCTGACTACCATCGTTGACTGGAGCAGCGCCCGGGCCGTGCCGCTCGAGCAGCTGTCCGCGCCTGTCCTGGGTTTTGCGACGTTCCCGAGCCTTTCGACCGAGGAGAACGAGCCCACAGTCGAGCTCGGGAGGCTCATGGTGGAGCCCTCATCGGCCGGGCACCATCCTAGGTATGCACTACGGCGCATATACCACAGCGTCTCTCCGCGATAGGATTCACGATGGTCCTTGGATAGGGATCGGTTCCGATGGTTGATTGTGTCGTACATGGTGTCTAGGCGATGATAGGGCAGATGACAGACAGGTGCATCGAGTTGGCTATATATATATATATATATATGTGTGTGTGTGTGTGTGTGTGTATGTATGTATATTCAGGTATTTTGTCCCAGTTTTTATCCAATACCATCAGCCCATTCTCGATGAATGGAAAGCTACGCCCATAAGTAGCGTCATCCGCACTCTATGCCCCAGACTGATGCCAAGGACGTCGGGGATGGATGAAGGAAGTGAGAGAGGTGTCGCATAGAGGATAGAAGGGTTGACGAAGTCTCGGAGAAGTAGTTTGAGAGGTAAGGGTTCCATATACAACAATAATATTTCGCCTAGAACCAACGTGACTCACAAGAAGCCACCTACGCCTCCTGGCGTTCTCCGCCACCGCCGGCAAGGTCGAACGTATCCGGACCGCTGGGTCGCGAGTGAGGAGAAGGAAGTTTCTGCAGCCTCTCGTCTGAAGCAAGCTCCTGCGGCATCTCACCGGAAGAAAGCTCTTGCCGCTGCTCGCCCGAAGCGAGCTCGTGTGGTTTGTGCGTGTCTCCCACCTCTGATGCGTCGAGTCCAGATGCCTCGGATCGGCACGGCGAGTGGACGGGGACGCTTTCAGCAGAAGCGTCCAGCTCAGGCTTGTCGACGTCATCGTCGCCGGCTTGGGGCAGAAGAGCCGGGGTGCCGACCAGGTTTCTGTGCTTCCGGCGACGGAGACACCAGATGAAGCCGCCTAGGGCCCCGGGTAGGCCAGATGCCATGCACCCGACTCCGACGCCTATTGCGGCGGAGGCTTGAACGGGATAGGTCTCGTCACCCACCACCGTGAGGCTACCGGTCCAGGTATCGCCTGAGCTTCCCGACACCATGCAGCCGTACCCGTCTTCTGTTCTGTGCCGGTAGACGTGTGGCGGCTACCAGCCACTCTGTCAAGGTCAATGCTGCGAATCCGATGGCGCGGCAGGTGGGTGACGGCCTACTGTGAGCAGCAGGTGAACGCCGTGGCCTCTTCACTGCCCGATGCAGCCTCGACGGAGCCATCGACCCCCACCC